TAATGTAATGTAATGTAATGTAATGTAATGTAATGTAATGTAATGTATATATGGATGCATGTATGTGATCACTTACGACATGTCTACAGAGTCTGCATGACCTATCATGACAGTATCCCCAGGTGTTCAACATTGTTCAACCTCTCAACGCTTTTCTCAAACTACTCTGGGCTTCTGTATCCCTTCTTTCCTGACAGTTTGCGTTGTTTTTCTGCCTCGCTATGGATGGCCCGGTGCTGAGGTTCCAGTCGCTCCACAGCAGCATGGGTTAGGGCAGGCAACTCTGGACACCAGGAGAGGTTCCTACGATTTCGACACTGAGCGATGACATGCCCGCATGGCCGAAAGAACTGGAACATGCGTGCGTGCACAAGTGCACACATGTCCATTCTTGACAATCGACACCCTTCGAAGGATTCAGCCCCTTCGCCGAGCTGCAAGGAGCAGGTGATCCGTGGCATGGCTTCACTGCCATCGGATGCCAGCCACTGGTAGCTGCCATTGACGGAGTTGCCACCTCAGCTGTCTTTGACCATGTGGACTCACCTTTCCGAGCATGGTGGGAATGGACTTCAAGCTCCCCACCTAACGAATCAATGAACAGTCTCTGGATGGTGTGGAAAGCAGTTTTGGGAGGTTTCTTTGTGCACCAGGAGAAGCGTCTTGATTGACCCAAGCCTGGAGGTCATGTTGACAAAGGTTTTTGTCACGGAGGAGCTACCAAAAACATGACGACAGCATCTTCGGCCGCCCCTGGGAACCAGGTGCCGAACCCCGCTTATTGGACGAACATAAACAGATCCAAGGGTGATTAAAAAGAGGAAAATGAGTTTAATCAAACACCTTTCCGAAAATGGAAATGAGTTTCAGTTCATCGCCACTTCATGATTCAGCGCCAAACGCACTCCACTAAAAACATTTCATTGTTCGTCGAGCGTTTAGAACAACTTCATACGATCATGATTAGTCTTAAAACGAGATGCTGCTGCTGTTCGCGATCTTGTGTAATTTTCAGACCATGAATTCAGAAACACAGCGGCGCTGCCGTTTTGATCACCGTTCAAAGATTGAAAGAAAAGGTCTAAAGGGAACAGTGGCACGCATTCGTTGAAATGTTCGACATTTTTTCCAAAGCGAGTTGTTGTGAAGCTTCGCCCAGAACAACGACAGCCAACCCAACGCGCTTTCCTAGATACTAGTGGCTTGGAATGATCCAGGATGGTTTTCGACTTAGACACACCCAACGTCCTCCAATGTGCCTTGTCCTATATTTATTGAATTGTTTGGAAATGTCTGTCATTGACAACCGAGTTGTTTTTCGTTTCAGCTGTTTGTCGATCCCATGTTTCAATCACTGCACTCTCAACTGCATCGGAAGGGGTAACCAATAGCCCGTGACTTCCCCTGACAAACTTAATGCGCGTGGTCTTTTGGAGCTGTTCTGGCATATTCAACCATTCTTGCGCAGAACGCCAAAAAGGCTGTGTCAAACACGTCAAAGACCCTCAAGATCTCCCAAGCCCCAATCCCTGCTCCCAAGTTGCACATCAATGTCTCACGGCCGAAGTCGAATACCTTCAGTCTCAAGAAAAAGATCTGACATATTTAGCCCTTGCATACCGATGGGAAGGTAAATTATGTGAACGTAAAAACGCACAATTCCCTTCTTGTCTCAACATTTTCAGTGACCAACACTTTGTTGCACGGCTCCTTTTCCCAAACTCTGGCAGCCCATGCCCGGCAATGGCTTGCAAATTTCTGCCACCTGGGCCTGGCCATGCCCGAAAAAGGGGCCTTGTCAAGACTTTCTTCGCGCACCCCGTGTTACTTCTGATGAGCTCCACTGTTGGTAAGCAGGGAAGCCGATGGCGACTGAGGCGATTTGCGGCCGAGTAGCTGCCTTTGTTTTCGTTTCCACCGTGGCCTCAACTCCACCAGGACTTGCGTGCGGCGTGCAGACTTGCGCGTGGCTCCAACACTTTCTGGGCGCGCGGCCACGTTTGCGCGCGCGCAACTGCCAACCTCTGGATGGGGCTTTGGACCTCCTTCGATCCGCGGATGACATGTAGGGCTCACGGCGCCCTTTCTCCCCTTGACTTCATTCTTGGGTTCGCTGCCTCCTCCTCAACTGTTCATCTGCAGGGGCTGGCGCAGCTGGCCTGGCTCTCTCTGGGGCTTCCTTGTGGGCCCCATTCTTGTTGGCAGGCGATGGTGAGTGGCTTCCGCTGCAGCCAATGCGGCCAACGACCTCCAGGCCACTGTGGATCAAATGTGCTCACCGTCACGATTGAAGTGCACTCAGGCCTTGCGTGTGGGAGGACCACCGCAAACCTGTAAAACACAGGCAGCTGCAAACTTGCACTTCGCAATGATCTTTGTATCACTCTGGTCTCGAAGCCGGCTCTGTGACTGCTAGACCAGATAGCGGCCAGGCTTTTGGTCGAAAGAGTTCGACCCAGGTCGGCGTTCGTGGTCTTTGATGCCAGGAGAGTGCGCGTTCGTGACGGTTCGTGTTGCGTGTTCGTTGGCTGGACCGGTGGCACACATCAGACAGACAGACAGACAGACAGACAGACAGACAGACAGACAGACAGCCAGGCAGGCAGGCAGGCAGGCAGGCAGGAGGGAGGCAGGCAGACAGACAGACAGACACAGACAGACAGACACAGAGAGACACAGAGAGACACAGAGAGACACAGAGAGACAGAGGGAGACACAGAGAGACAGAGAGAGACAGAGAGAGACAGAGAGAGACAGAGAGAGAGATAGAGAGAGATAGAGAGAGAGACAGAGAGAGAGAGAGAGAGACAGAGAGAGAGAGAGATAGAGAGAGAGAGATAGAGAGAGAGAGAGAGATAGAGATAGAGATAGAGATAGAGATAGAGATAGACATAGAGATAGACATAGAGATAGAGATAGATAGATAGATAAATAGATAGATGGATATTTTCAAAAAAATCATCCGCAGGCAGTCGAGTTTGCTCAGCCAATTCTACGAACAAAGGTAACAATCACTGAATGGGTACATTCCAGCAGACCAACCTGGAAGCGTCTTGGGTGGCGTGGCTGACGCTGATCAACTCCATTTCACAACTGCTGAGGGCGGAGGGCGGACGGCGGTCGATTGTTGCGGTGACACTTTAGCTTCTTGTTACTACTAGTAAGGCACTTGTTACTAGTTGCGATGCACTTGTTACTACTAGTAACAAGAAGCTAGTAGCTTCTGCCTGCAGCAAGCTGCCTTCCCAAAAGATCGCGCGCCCGGAGCAGCGCGACGCCCCCGTGAAGCGTGCGCAAAGACTTTCAAGTCGGGTTTTTCATCTGACCCTTTGAACTTCTGCCAAAGTCGCAAGCAACTCACAAAATATCTAGAGCCTTTTCCAACCTTTCTCACGCTTGACTGCCCCTGCGCAGGCAGCGCTGATCAAGAGTTGGCCGGAGACCTTTCGCAAACTCCTGGTTGTAAGTGGTCGGAGTTTGGACGAGAGACATTTAAACTTCCCCCCAAAAAGACCAGCTCAGCTTTTGAGCGACAATTACTTACCAAGCTTCCTTCAAAGCAATGTGGAACATCTCCAACAAACTCTCTTCAGCGCTTGCGGTGATCAACAGGGATGGAATGTCCCACAATGTCAGGCGCTTGAACATCCCAGTGTCGCTCGTTATCCAGAAGTCTTGGTTCACGCACCTGTCACGGTTCTGACTTGGAGCTCCACGCATGACGTGATAGCAGGTTTGTTGACCGATTGTCGATCAAGTCAAGACTGAGAAGTTTCGTGCCGTGTTGTGGTTTGCCGAGATGGCTTTGCCAGAAAGATGGCAAGTTGACATGAAAGGGGTTGGAAACAACAAAATTGTGTTGGTCACCGTCGCTCCAGAAAGTTGTTGGGATGACGTTGATGCCTTCAGGCGAGAAGCCTTTATCTGCACCATAGCGCTGCAGTACTTCTATTAGGAACTGGCCCATTACCATCCAAAAAAAGTACCCTGGCCAGGTCTATGAAGGGGGTGAGAACCAAGGGGACGAAGTGCACTCACTGAGCCAAAACTCCACATGGCACCCCCAGCCAAAAATCGCACAGGAAAACCACCAAGACTAATTACTAATACCATTGCAAGCTCAAGCAACAAGTTCCGTCTCAGCAGTTCAATGCTCTCTGATTCTACACATGCAGCTGCAACATCTTACATTGGGAACAAAAAAGGAAAGGTTCACGGATTTTCTGCAAGATACGTAGTGCGGATGGCATTCCATAGACACCTCATCCCCCAGTGCTACTGGCATCAGCGGAGTGGTGAATTGGCTGTGTGGAGGTAACCTGAGCGGGTCGGCCGGAATTTGATTTATAAAAAGTCTAGGAAAAAGTGTCAACTAGACCCAAAAGAACGCTTGAACCTTTCTTTCACAAACAGGATCATCAAGGTCAAGACTATTCTCCAGAAAAAAGATAAAACACTTCCAGCGCACTTGTCGAAGACAACTCCCTTGGTCATTCAAAAAAACACATTTTCGACACGACATGTTCATCTTTTTTTCCCCAAACAGTTTACTGTTAGGGGTTTTCAATTCTTTCTTAAGATGTGTCCGCCCTTTGCGTCACTGCTGGTGTCCGCCCTTTTCCTCTGGCCATGTAGCATTTCTATTCATGTGTCTCCCAGGTCTGTCACTGCTGGTGTCCAGCCTTTTCCGCTGGCCATGTAGCATTTCTGTTCATTTGTCTCCGAGGTGTGTCACTGCTGGTGTCCGCCCTTTTCCGCTGGCCATGTAGCATTTCTATTCATTTTTGTCTCCCAGGTCTGTCACTGCTGGTATCCGCCCTTTTCCGCTGGCCATGTAGCATTTCTATGCATTTGTCTCCCAATTCTGCCGCTGCTGGTGTCCGCCCTTTTCCGCTGGCCATGTAGCATTTCTATTCATTTGTCTCGACCTCTGGGATAGACTTCTGGAGCTTTGGACCTTTGTAGACTGCCACATTTCCGTTTACAAAACTGCTGCGCATGTGTCCCCTGATGAACTTCAGGATCCAGACCTACGATGGCAGGCTTTTTGGAATAGCGTGGCTGATATTTCTGCAAAGGCTGCTCGCAAGACGGGCGGAACAGCAGAGCTTCAAGAGATGGTGCAGCGGCATTATGATGCCTTCTGTTGGAGACGGTACTGGGCCAAGAGGTTCCAGAGCTTTCTCTTAGCTATGGCGAGGCTTTCGGTGGCGCAGACACTCCCAGTGAGAGAGCAATTGGATGAGAATGTAGAGGTTTTTCCTTGGACACGTGATAATGCCAAGGATTTGTTTGATATGCTTCCGGTCAATTTTGATTTGCTCCTTTCTTCTTCGGAGAGAATTCGGGCTTTTGATCTGTGTATAGCACGAAGGTTTGTTTCGTGGATCGCCCATTTAGAGCAGGAAGCTTCGACGCTCGCCCCTGTTTCCTTCCTGGAGATGTTTGTTGCCTTTTCTA